GCGATTTTCAGCTTCAGGCACCTCCGAATGGCACCTTTTATCCATACTACATTTGCTTCTTTGAAAGCTGATCAGTGTATGATCTTAGATGAATAAGTGGTATTGATGGTTATATGATCAGAAGACCCTTGGCAGAGATGCATACAAATAGTTAACAAGGTAATGGTAAGAAATGTTGACCTTGATTTGTTTAGCTAAGATGTAAAGATTTTTGAAGGTCAAAGGTGTCCTTGTGTAGTGTTTTGGAGTCTAACTGTGCCTGACCCTCTAACATTAAGCTGCTGTGGCCTGCAGTTTTGAAGAGTGAAGCAAACCAGGGGGAAAACGAGAAGGGGGAGAGAACAGGAAATGGAGTGAGGTGTTTCAGGAAGTTGTCAGGGGTTGACTGATTGATTCCAGATGGGAAGGGTCAGCCTTCGTGACCCAGGAAATACTCACTAGGGGAAAGAAGTTGGCTTGTGGAAGGGGAAGGCCTGGGAGTGAGATGATGTTGGAATGTGCATTCCACTTCCTTTCGTCCTAAAACATTCAGAACTCTTAACTTCTGCAAATAGACGAATATCAGCATTGTCATTGTTCATCAGGAAACAGTGAAAGAACTTAAATTTGAAGTTTTGACTATATCACATATATCTTCACTTCTGTAATGTAGTTCATTCTTCCAGAAGTAAAGCAAATGTGTGTAAAAGTCAGTGTTTAAGTGTGTGTCTCTATGTATAGAAACAACCACCAAACAGATCTGGTTTCTTGTTGTGGAGTGTATGAATTAAATCCATCGCATTTTGCAAATTCAGTTGAATTGGCAGGCTATTCCGGCTACCTCACCTTCTAAGATATTTGGAATATTAAACCTGGAACTTGCCTCATATCTATACGTACACATGCACACGCACATACATTTGGACATAATTTAAAATCTTGTAATAAATTTTGCAGACACTGACATAATTCAGGTTAATTCCCTAGCTGTCATGAGAGGCCAGCATGAGCCAGCAAGAGATTAAAATTTATTTCTATTGTTAATAGAAAATAATGAAGTGCATCTGAACCATCAGGGTATGTCATTCGGGAAATGTTCACTTTGGAACTAAGTCTCACTCCACCCAAATGGACAATGATGAAATCAGCTGGCTCGTGAAATCCCCATATTTTGTGGCAGGAATGCGTGGGGAGTATTAATGGACAGTATGACAAGGAGCTTGTGGAGTGAATTAAAGCAGCCTCAGAGAGAAGGCTCTTTACCTCCATGTAATCCTCAGACAGGGCCCATGTCCCCCTTAGCGTGTCTAGGACCACTCATTAAGAATTAATGCCAATGGCTGGGCACAGTGGCTCATGCCTGTAATCCCAGCATTTTGGGAGGCTGAGACAGGCAGATCACCTGAGGTCAGGAGTTCTAGACCAGCCTGGTTTAACATAGTGAAACCCCCAAAAATACAAAAATTAGCCAGGTGTGGTGGTGGGTACCTGTAATCTCAGCTACTTGGGAGGCTGAGGCAGGAGAATTGCTTGAACCTGGGAGGCGAAGGTTGTGGTGAGCTGAGATCAGGCCACTGCATTGAACTTCAGCCTGGGTTATAGAGCAAGACTCTGTCTCCAAAAAAAAAAAATTATTATTATTATTAAAGCTTAAAGTACCCTCTCCTTGTTTTCTGTTTTTTTTTTTTTTTCCAGAGATGACAGTCATGTCTTTGAAAATGCGTTCACACACACAATTTGTAAGAATAGTTTGATTCTTCTTTCTTCTCTCTCTTCTCCTGTTAATTTCGGAGGGTAGGCAATACAACCTTCATGTTCCTCTTAACCCCGTGACCATGAGGCTCTGCCTCTCCCTTTGGCTGTGATGTGTCTTTGTATTTTGCTGAGATCACTTTGATAAGGATATGAGCACCTGTGGCGAGTGATGGATGCTGCCATCTTACGTTTGCCGCTGTGTGATGAGAACTTTCTGGAAGGACCTTTCCCAGATTCTAACATGGTTAACATGGACACAGTTGAAAATAGACCTGGAGCTAGACAGGCTGCACCCCTGAATTGTGAGCAATTATATTGACAGTTGAGGTTCCTTTAAGTTTATTCTTTGAATCTCTGGGTCCTGTCACATGTTAGAAGCTCAGTGAATTATCTGTTGGGTTGGATGACTGAAACTCACTTATTCATGTAAAATTTTATATATATTACCACCATGTTCAAAGTATGAGACTATGTGAGATGATTTGTGGACTCATGAGTTTTAGGGATTTTCCCAAAACTATTATACTAAAAATATATAATAACTTAAAAGATGTCATAAAAAAAAACTCTTTAGGGCAAAGAAAAAAATCAGAAGACTATTGCTTTGCTGGTAGTGGGGGTAGGATGGACTGGGAAGGAACACAAGATAACTTTCTGCAGAGATGGAAATAGTCTACATCCTGATCATAGTGTGAGTTGGACAGCTAAGATCTGTGCATTTCAATGCATGTAAATTTCACCTACAAGAAAACCCAACCTGTGATTATTATCATTGTTGAGTAGTTGGCAGTGGGTGGTGGGATACAGTACCCCCTACCCCTGCACTTTCCAGGTTTCACTTTCTATGGTTTCAGTTACCCAAGGTACACTACAATAAGATATGTTTAGATTAAAAGAGAGAAACCACATGTATATACTTTTATTTCAATATCTTTTTATAATTTTAATTATTATTGTCATTAATGTCTTGCTGTATCTAATTTATAAATTATACTTTATCATAGATATGTATAGGAAAAAGCATAGTATATTATAAGATTTGGTATTCTCTGAGGCTTCAGGCATCCACTGGGGTTTTAGAGCACAGACATCTTAGATAAGGGTCTACTGTAGCTGAGATGAGAATGGCAGTATTTTGACAATTCTTGAAGCTGGATGATAAGTTTGGGGGATTCATTATGCTATCCTGTTTCTTTTGTTTGCTTGAAATTATTCATAATAGAAAGTTTTTAAAATGCTGCCTCATTCCTTCATATTAAGAGGTAAGGTAGGGCTGGGCGCAATGGCTCACTTCTGTAATCCCAGCATTTTGGGCAGCCAAGGTGGGTGGATCACTTGAGGTCAGGAGTTCGAGACTAGCCTGGCCAATATGGTGAACACCTGTCTCTACTAAAAATACAAAAATTAGCTGGGTATGGTGGTGAGCCTCTATAATCTCAGCTACTCAGGAGGCTGAAGCAGGAGAATTGTTTGAACCTGGGAAGTGGAGGTTGCAGTGAGATAATATGCTGCCACTGCACTCCAGCCTGGGCAATAGAGTCTCAAAAAAAAAAAAAAAGTAAGGCAGGGTCAAGCCTTCTGCCCTCGATTTAATGAATAAGGAAGGACAATTACAAGTAGACTATCAACCATTTTCATTTGGGAGTGGATGGAGAGAAAGAGTCAGTTTTAAGCATGACTCCTTATTTTGTACCTATTTAGTGTCCTTCCTCAAAAGGACTATACATGTGTGTGAGTATGTATATAACAAGTTCTTTTGTTTCTCAAAAAATAATAATAATGGCCATGCATAACTTATGTGAACTGAGAAGTTAGACCCACGTCTAGGGTGGCTTGTCTTCTGGGTCAAGTGAGTCGGTGGGAGGTCCACTGAGGTCCGCTGTCTTCTGCCGTGCTTGGCCATCCTTTGCTGATATCCACCTCTTTGAGCTTCTCCCTGACCCCTGATCTGCAGTACACATGCTGAAATTTAGTTCAATACCAGTATTTGTGCTACTTATTTCCTGTGTTAATTATGATTCTCCAGCCAGAAAATAAACTCTTTGAGATTAGGGACCATATCTTGTAACTGTCTGTACCTATCATCTATCTGCCTCTTCCTAGGACCTTCCCCAGAGCTTAGACTATGGGAGAATCTCTGTGTGTGAGAAATGTCATCTGTCTTATGGGATGGTCACGCCCAGCATGGGCAAGGCAATTAGGACATGAACTCATCCCAGTTTGGCACACACCAAGCACTGTGCTGGATGCTTTCCATGTGTTACAGGTTGAGTATTCCTTATCCAAAATGCTTGGAGATAGAATCGCTTCTGATTTTGGTTTTTGGAATATTTGCATTCTTCACTTACTGGTTGAGCATCCCTAATCTGAAAATCCAAAATCCAAAATGCTCCAATGAACATTTCCTTTGAGCATCATATCAGTGCTCAAAAAGGTTTGGATTTTGTAGAATTTTTGGATTTCAGATTCTTGGACTAGGGATGTGTGCCTGTTTCTCATTATATCTCATTTCAGCACTGTGAGATACACATTGTTATTTATGTCTTACAGATAAGAAAAACTGAGATTATGAAAGGTTAAGTAATTTGTCTTTGGTTGCAAGTTAGAGGACAGCAGGCCTGGGATTTGAATTCAGTTCTCTCTGACTCCAAACCCATATTCTCCCATCACTCCACACTACCTCTCCCCTCACCCTGATTAGATACTACACATGCTATGTTTTCATCACTGAATTATGACAACCTTATCTTCTCAGCAAAAGTCTAGGTCTAGGCATCCCTGCCACCACTCTCTACTGGGCAGCAACACCACAGACAATTCACCAGCCAGGATCTCAAAGCTGGGCATGATATCAGGACCCATCTGAAGTGCAGGAAGCCATTCCCCAGCTTGGAAAGAAGTGACCTTCCAGCTGGTGTGACGATCTCAGCTTCGACATGGCACCCAACCAGCTTCCTGTGGTGGAGGTTCCACTGGCAATGGTGGTCCAGGTCTTTTGATAGAGAACCAGGTTTCTGGAACCAGCAGGCAGATGTGGGTGTGCCTTGAGCAAAAATACTTGACAATGCCTGGGTCAAGGACAGCCACTTTTTCTATGAAGTTCTGAAGTAATTACAGAAGGAGGAAACTCTGTTGAGTCCCAGGTTCTGTCCCATTTCCCATTTGCCATATGGAAATATGGCAAAACAGAATTTTGGTGCGTTTGCTATGTTATGTGAAACTAATTCCACTGCACCCCCTTGCTCCTTTTTACTTTAAATATGCAGGTTGTGTTGTCAACAACAGTGAACGTGGATGGACACGTCCTGGCTGTTTCTGACAATATGTTTGTTCATAACAACTCCAAGCACGGACGGAGAGCAAGAAGACTCGACCCATCAGAAGGTAGGGCTGTCTCCACTCAGCATGGTAGACACATGATGTTCTCCAAGAATTTCCTTGTTCAAACTTCAAATTATGTCTTGGAGTCAGAGTAGAGAAAGTACACAGAACCATGTGGGTTTTTTTAATGAAGTTGTAAACACGGACTCCAGCCTGCTCCATTGTAAGCCCCACATGTCTACCAGCCCATGCCAAGTTCTCATGCCTCCCAGCCTCTTCCATTCTGTTCTGTGTTTTCCTTTTTGTGAGACGGGCATTTCAGGCAAATGTAGGCCTATGACATCTTAGTTAAACAGGAACATTACAGTGCCAGACATGTAAGAGTAAGTGTCAGATGTGTCCTTAAACAGACTGTAGGCAAAACAAAACAATGTGCGGAATGAAACTGACACTAATTGATTTTTGTTTGCTTGGACAAGAAGAAATCATGGTCTGTTCTGGGTAGTTTTCCAAATGCATTAAAGTAATTAGAAATACCGGTAACTGTTAAACTTCAAGTTGTCCAAAAAATTAAAGTATATTGATGAAGATAACTGACAAACCTAAGTAAATTCCATTTTAGTTATTCCCCTTCCCAACTCACTGGTATACAACGACCTTATAATACAGAATGTATGGTCAAATTAGGCTACTATTCTAGTGTGATGTTTTGCTATATGCTTCCCCCCGACCCCTACCTCCCACCCTAACTCAGCCCTGAAAATGTATCTTGTATCATTGTAAACAGGAATTAATGAACTGAAAGAAAATGATTGAATCAGTAAAGAATTTGGAGTGGTGTTAATTCTCCCACAGTGGGAACTGAAAGGGGAGAAGAAAATCCCAGAGTTCAGGACTAGGAACCCATCCAGTTTCTTTTGACTGATTGGATGTGATTGACTGGCTGTTCAAAGGGGGCTCATGTTTTTGGAGTCCTGCCAAAGTTCTCCTCTACCTTTGACCCTGTCAACTTTGGAAATGGAGTGATGGATTGACTTTAGTTATGGCCTGAAAACCATATTGGGTTCCTGTTGGGATGTAAAGTCCAGAGGCCTGGAGCATATGGAAGAAGTGGGGAAAATCCTTCCTACAAAGTTAGGACGGTGATTAGAAATTGTCTCTTGATAGAGCTGAAGAAAACCTTCAAGTATAATAGATTTTGCTTTCTCCTTCTCTCTCTCTCTAGCCCATTAATAGGCCTTGTAAATCTTAACATCTTAGGGCAGAGGAGGTGGGGAGAGAAAGGGGATTTACACATTTCCAGTGTGATCAACTTATAAAAATATGGACAAAAACAACAGAGGTTTTCAAACACCCTTTGCACAATTAGCTAAGTGTTTTACTTTTTCGTATGTAATGGTCAGCTCATTAGGTTTTAATGACTTGGTGAAAACCAACAACCAATTAGGGAATGATGTCAAGTCAACAAATCTCAGCTTGAACTTCTCGGAATGACCAACATTTTTCAAAGGCAGCCCATCCCCAAAACTCTAAACTTCAATCATATACAGGTGTCCAGCCTTTGAATGCAAGGACTTTTTGGCTTATTTGTGGTGTGTCCAATCCTTTGAATGCAAGGATTCTTTTTCTTATCCGTGGTGGGGGATAGTGTGAAAATTATGCATGGACCTTTTGTTTTTCTGCTCACCAGCTATCATTAGCATTAATGTATTTTATATGTGGCCCAAGACATTCTTCTTCCAACGTGGGGTGGGAAGGCAAAAAGTTGGACATCCATGAAAGAAAAAACCTGACTTTTTCTTTCGTATCCTCTTAGCTACCCCCTGCATCAAAGCCATTAGCCCGAGTGAAGGCTGGACCACAGGAGGAGCCATGGTCATCATCATTGGGGACAACTTCTTTGATGGTCTCCAGGTGGTGTTTGGGACCATGCTTGTATGGAGCGAGGTAGGCAAAGGCATCTTGCTTACTCTGATTTCCTTTGACCCAAAGATTGTTTTGATCTGGGAAACTGGTGATTCCTAGAGCATCAGCAGCACAAACACCAAAGGTTAAAAAGCATAGAAGTCATAATAATTCAGTCATGGGTTCCTTACGAAGATAAGTATCCATTGCAGTATTATTTAAAATGGTGAAAAATTAGAAATCCAGAATTGTAAAGTGATGGGATATCACACCACCATTAAAAAAGGTTTTGAAGGCCAGGTGCAGTGTTTCACACCTGTAATCCTAGCACTTTGGGAGGCTGAGGCTGGCAAATTACGAGGTCAGGAGTTAGAGACCAGCCTGACCAACATGGTCAACCCCGTCTCTACTGAAAATTAAAAAAATTGGCCAGGCATGGTGGTGCACACCTGTAATCCCAGCTACTCGGGAGGCTGAGGCAGGAGAGATGCTTGAACCCAGGAGGCAGAGTTTGCAGTGAGCTGAGATCGCACCACTGCACTCCAGCCTGGGCAACAGAGGGACAACAGTGCCTATGGATGTAATGTAGTTATATAACACACATCCATAGAAAAGTACTGGAAACATACCAAAGGTTAATATTGATTGTCTCTATGATGTTAATATTTTTCTTTGTATTTTTCTGTAATTTCCAAATGTTCTGAATTGGATGTGTTTTACTTTCATCGTCATATAAAACATTACAAAAAGATCAGTGACAGTGTTAAGTTGAGGTTGGAACTTGCCAAATCAATATTTGAAATTGCAAGCAGGATGGCAGTTCCGCAGAGAAAAGGATCCCAGGGATGAAGGTGTGGTTGGCAGCAAGCGGTGGGAGGGACGTGGGCTGGGCTTGTAGGAAATAAAGGACCTAGGTTGGTTGGGTTGAGAGAAAATTCCAAGGAGGTGAGGGATAGGGAGAGATAGCAACAGTGAGGGAGTCAGATATACAGAGAGAGAGAGAGAGAGAGAGAGAGAGAGAGAGAGAGACAGACAGACAGACAGACAGAGACAGGACAGTGATGTTCAGAGTGCATTTGGAGCTAGGAGCACTTCAGTTAGACCGCAGCAGAGAGAAGCCCCCGGGGAGCAATAGTGGGACATGCTGTGTACCTTATGTCCTTGGCGATAGCTTGTCTAATGGGTATTTTATTTCCCTGCCTGTTCACTCCTCAGCTAATAACCCCTCATGCCATCAGAGTACAGACTCCTCCCCGGCACATCCCTGGCGTGGTGGAGGTGACATTATCTTATAAATCCAAACAGTTCTGCAAGGGAGCCCCAGGAAGGTTCATTTACACAGGTAGGTGGAAAAAAAAATGATTCCAGGAGAGGCTGGCTTCTGGTTTGCCTTTGAGCTAGTTCCCAGTATCTGCACTTTATAAAGGTCCTGATTTTTCTAGGTCTTTCTACTAGTGTAGAAAGAGTGAGCTGGTTGATAGGTGTTGAATGGTGATGTGAAGGTTCACTTCTCAATTAGTGTTTTACTTAACTTCTGCAAGATCTGGGAGATGCTCACAGCAGCTCATTTCAGGAATATGGTTTTACAAATATGACTCTGTTGAAACCATGCTAGAACTACCTTTTATCCACGTGATTAGGTTAAAAAATAGACAGGTATTGGCTGTAACTACATTTCCTTGAAAAGATTCAAGAGAGCTGCCCATTGATGTTGGAGAGTGAAGTACTTTAAAACTACCTTAAGGTAAAAATCATATATTAGTCAATATTTGTTGAATTTCTCCTTTGAATCAACTGCTTTTCCTAAGTGAAAGGTATAGATCACATATAAGACATGATCCCTTCCCCATCTGAAAGTTTAGAAACTTTTGAAGAAGACAAAGGTATATTGCAAAGAACAGCTGGTGGATTCATAAATCTGAAATGTTTGGTATTTCCAATGAATGGAATATGAGTTTCAGGAAGAAAGAGTTTAGTGTGGACTAGAGTAGTGGGGTGGGGTGTCAAGGAGGAGATGGAGATTTTAGACCATATTTAAGGACAGGGAGAATTTGGATGGGCAAAGAGAAATCGGGAGAATGTTCTCACAGTGGGACTCCCTTGTGCAAAGGCCACAGGGTGAGGGGAGCACATTCCTACAGGACCAAAGCCTCATCTGACAACTGTGGCAATGCATTTTGTACTTAGACTAGAACTTACCCTACATGTGCTAGGCGTGTGTATTAGTCTGTTTTCATGATGCTGATAAAGACATACCTGAGACTGGGTAACTTGTAAAGAAAAAGAGGTTCAATGGACTCATAGTTCCATGTGGGTGGGGAGGCCTCACAATCATGGCCGAAGGCGCAAAACACATCTTATGGCAACAGACAAGAGAGAAAATGAGAGCCAAGCCAAAGAGGAAACCCCCTATAAAATCATCAGATCTCATGAGACTTACTCACTACCGTGAGAACAGTATGGGGGAAAGTGCCCCCATGATTCAATTCTCTCCCACCAGGCCCCTCCCACAACACATGGGAATTATGGGAGCTACAATTCAAGATGAGACTTGGGTGGGGACATGGCCAAACCGTATCAGCATGGGAGGGAAGGAAAGCATAAAACAGCTTAAAAGCCTTAAGTAGAACCTAGAGTAGTCAAATTCATACAGACAGAAAGTCAAACGGTGGGTACCAAGGGTTAAGGGAGGGGAAATTGAGGATTTGTTTAATGGGTCCAGAGATTCAGTTTTGCAAGACAAAAGGAGTTCTGGAATGGATGGTGATGATGGTTGTACAACAGTGTTAACTACTTAGCTTGACTGAACTGTACACTTAACAGTGATGAAGATGGTACATTGTATGTTATGTGTGTTTTACCACAGTTTTTTAAAGTTAGTAAAAAAAAGAAGCTTTGTAAGGGAGTTTGGACTTGACTTGGCAGGAAATAAGAAGGCATTGAGGGTTTCTTTGCAGGGAAGAGTAACTCAGAGATACTGTCTTCCAAAAAAGAAATGCTGTTGATATAAAGACTGAGTTAATTGGGGGAACAACCAGAGGCAGGAAGATTAATGAGGTATTATACTTTGACAGAGAAAATAAAGAGTATAGAGAAAGAAATATGTAAACCAAGAAAATATAGCAGGTATGTTATACATTTTTAATAATATTATGTTACAGATACTATAGTCTCTCATTTGCACTCAGATTCCTACTCTTGGTAAAGTGTCAGTGTCTGGCTAGCTATCAATTACGAGTAGATAGAGGTAATTTTTAGGTCTATTTATTTAAAATTTAGCCTTTGAATTTTCTGTCCTGAGATAAGCAGAACAGAAATAACATCTCAGGTATTATTTTATGTAGATCTATGGGAGATTCTATTGCAGTCACAATTAAAAAAAAGTACTGTTCCAGTTCCCAAATGGATATAGTTCATCTATTCATTCAAACTAGTATTTATGGCCTGCCTGCCATGGGCTGGCACAGCTCTAAGCTCTGAGGTATAGAAGGGAGGAAGGTAAAGTCCCCCATCATAAAGCTTGTATTATAGAGGGGAAGACAGGCAAGAAAGGAAATAGGTGATATAATTTCAGATAGTGTGAAGTAAGGGAAGGAGAGTGAGGGAGGGTTGGGCAGTCTGGTCAGGGAGGCCTCTAGGAGCAGGGGACATGGAGTTGAGACCTGAATCCCAGGATGGGGCCAGCTGTGGAAATCCATGCCCGCTTCATTCCTTCTTCCTCCGTCCACCTCTCCTCTCCATCCACATTGCCTTCCTCCATCCCAGGAGCTTCCTGGGGCTGGGTTTTCTGTTTGGTACACTGGTGTTCATTGGAACAGTGCCTAGCAGTCCATGAATCTGGGTGTGGGGTTGTCCCAGGTAGAGGGTACAGCAAGATTACAGGTTGTGAAGTGAGAGAGAGCCTGGTGCTGTTGGGGAAGAGCAAGAATGCTGGTGTGGCTGGAGAGGAGTCAGTGGGGAAGAGAGTGATGGGAGATGAGGGGGGAAAGTCAGACAGCACAAGGACTTCAGATGGGAAGACGTGGAAGATGTTGAGCAGAGGAGCGACCAGCATCTAGATAGGATTTAAAGCCACAGGACCGGATGAAATCACCATGCAAGGGTGGAGAAATCCAAATATGGTGCCTTGGAACACCAGCATGCAGGGTTAAAGATGACAGGAGGAACCTGGGAAGGAGCCTGAGAAGGAGTGGTCAGGGGAGGAGGAAACCAGGAGTGTGGGCTGCCCCTGAAGTCAGGTGGAGAGTGAGTCTGGTAGTGTAGACACTTTCTGAATGCAGAGCTTCTGGTATCTCTGGGGTTTCAAAAGACACCCCTGGACTGTCGGTGATGGAGCTGGTCTATAATGAGATGGATAGGTATCAGAACAAGCACATATTTACATATTTGTAGCCTATCCTCAACTCTGTATTGAAGTAAAGAACAATCTCAATAATCAGTAGGGCCATAGACATAGACATTCAGAGCCAGGTGTGTGTGTGTGTGTGTGTGTGTGTGTGTGTACATGTGTGTGTACATGTGTGTGTATGTGTGTGGGCATGTGTGTGTGTGTGTACGTGTGTGTGTGTGCATGTGTGTACGTGTGTGTGTGTGTGTGTGTGTGTGTGCATGTGTAAACTTCCTCTGAATCCAGAGGTCCTCACCTTTGGCCACACTTCCAGTTACCAGTGCCTAGGTCAAACCCCAGACCAATTAGATATGAATTTCTGAAGGTAGGACCCAGGTAGCAGTGTTACCCATTTATTTACTCAACAAGCATGTGCTCTAAACACACAAAACCAATAATATCCGTACACCTCTATCAGCCTACAGTTCTAAAATGGGAGATGGCAAAAGTAAAGAAAGAATGCGAGATGGCTGCTGTTACATGGCAACAATTAGATTCAGCACCTAAAATAAAAAAGGGTGATAGGGACACTATTCAGGGAGTGACTAGCTTTGGGGAATCAGGGAAGGCTTCCCAGAGGAGGTAGCAATAGGTGACATTTTTGAAGCAAAGTAGGAATTTGCCAGACAGAATGAGGAGACTGTGGTCTATAGATCTTGGAAACACAGTACCTAGCAAAATGGGAGCCCACACACCTGTGAAAATAACTGATGTTAAGCTACATGTAAATTCAAGTAATTTTAGAGATGAAGGGACTATGAAGATCATCTGGTCAAAGACCCTCCTTTGCAGAAGGGAAAACTGAAACTTAAGCACAAGTGATTTGCTATTAATTGCCCGTTGAATTAAAGATGGCATTAGAACAAAGATTCAGGCCTCTGGCCAGCCTGCCTGGTGTCTTTCTGATACCACTTTAGCAAGTTGTATTAGAAAATAGCCCTGTTTCCTTCATGTGCTGAGACATTAGCGATTTTTGCATGGAGCGTGTATTTATTAAGCAATGCACGCTGTGCTCAACATTGAGCTCTGTCCTGCGGCTATTGGAGAGAAGTCAAACCAGTGTCTCCTACCTTCCTGACATCACAATACACTGACGTAAAGGTGAACTGCCCATGCTCTGGAATTAGAGACCTGGACTCATAGCGTGGCTTCCCTCCTGAATTGTTCTTGAATCTTGGGCAAGTGACTTAACCTCTTTTCCCCCCATTTATAAAATGGGTTACCTACAGAGCCAAGGACTAAATGATACAGTGCATGGCAACTGTGGTGGGCGGGCAAAGGTTTAACAAGGGGCTCTCCAGGGAGGAGGAGACTTTCTTTTTTAAAGCATGGGTTTATACTATTTACCAATTTCCATGGTCAGATATTCTCACCATGGCAGATCTCAAGCTACCACTCAAGTAGCTCACAACCTTCCTGAAAACTTCACCACCTGCCTTCCCAAGCTGGGAGTCAGGTCTCTTCACGGAAAGTACCTAGGATAGAGAGTGGATAGGATGGCCCATATCTTATTGGTCAAAAAGTGGCTTATTGTTTTTATTCTTACTATTACTGAAATGGGAAAAGTTCCCTCCTCCCTCTCACAGGGCGGACGATGCGGGTATGGCTCACCTCTTCAGTGTCCCACTGCTCACATCTCTAGGGGAGCATACAGATGGCAGTGTCTAGGGGTGAATCTTTACAGCTGAAGCCCCAGTTGGTGTGTGCTACAGGGTGCTCTTTGAGTTTAGCCATCCATAGGCAGCTTGTATTAGTCAGCTCAATTAGACCCCTGCCTTATCACAAGGACAGAGGGCTTTCCTATCCCAGGGTTCTTGCCTGGGTGTACCAGAAGAATCAGATCACACTTGGACTTGGAGAATGAGTGCAAGGTTTTATCAAGGGGAGGTAGCTCTCAGCGAATGGGGAAGCCAGAAGGGAGATGGTTTTCCTCTGGCCTCTCAGCAGTCCAGGCT